GGCCACCATGAAAACCTCCATAGTTGCCTGTCTCCCTGCCCACGTGTCCATTTAAATCTCCTCCTATAAATAACTTCTCCGTCTGAGCAATTCCTTGCACCAAGTCTCCAAGATCTTCCCAAAATTTCTCCTTCGAACTCGTATCCAACCCTACTTGAGGTGCGTACGCACTAATCACATTGATAAGTTCTTGTCCTATTACAATCTTGATTGCCATGATTCTATCTCCTACCCTCTTGACATCTACAACATCTTGTACCAAGGTCTTGTCCACGATGATGCCAACACCGTTTCTCGTTCTATTTGTGCCCGAATACCAAAGTTTAAACCCTGAGTTTTCTAGATCCTTTGCCTTACTACCAACCCACTTAGTTTCTTGTAGGCACATAATATTTATCCTTCTCCTCACCATAACTTCCACTACTTCCATAGATTTTCCCGTTAAGGTTCCTATATTCCACGTTCCTAAACGCATTTTGCTCTCTTGAACTCTACCCTTCTGTCCTAGCTTCTTCACCCTCCCCCGTCTAATAGGATCAAAGTACTTCTTTTGTGTGTCCCGGGTAAAGTTGATAGGAGCATATGCTCCCAAACAACTTTGAGTGGAGTCGTTCGAAAAGAAGTTTCTATGGCCCCCTTGCTCATTTAACACTGCATCCGGGTGCCGATGGAGATACAGCGACCCTTGCTCACTTATCACTGTGCTCAGGCCACACAGCGCGCCACTTACGGGTGACGCCCTAGCTTTAGCGCGATTTTGTTCTGGATTCATTTTCATAAGGATTCGACGTGATCATGGAGTGCCGGCTGTCGACTACCTGACGCCCTCCCCCTCCTCCTTTATCCGGGCTTGGGACCGGCCATGTAAGACATAGGCGGAGTTTCTTATTTTCTAATGAGTTCTTAATTTTTATATGTTCTAGAAAAAAGGAATGGTGGCACATCTAGCATTGGCGATTCATAAACTATTCAGTCCTAACTTATCACTTTTTACTAGTGATGGTATGTATGTAACTTTAATTTTTTTAGCACCTTCCGTATCACCTTTTCTCCTTAATCTTTCACTTTTATATGTTCCCTTTTGTTACTATTCATATTTAGTGGAATTTATAATTTACTCTTTCAATCAGTGGCAGTCAAAATGCATACTTTAAACCTACAGATGGCAGTCAAAATGCATAAGATTTTGTTTAAATTTGTGTGGGGCAGCAAGTTGAAATTTGTCAGCAGATTATGTTTAAATCAGTGGCAGCAAGTTGAAATTTAGAGCATAATGGCAGTCAAAATGTGTTTAAATGCTTTAAAATTTGGGATTGAGTAATTATAACATTTGTGGGTATGACTAGAAAGGAACACTGCAAATGCATAAGATGTGTAGGAAAGGTGTTTTATGACTCTAATTCTAGATTTATTTGGAGCTTGTAAAAATGTACACCTTTTATATTGAAGTTTCGGCAAGAATGAGTTGAGCATGAGATGGTTTTTATTTTTCTTGATGCTTATTCAAACTTTAAAAATGGGGAAGCCCATGCTTCCTCTCTGAAATAAGTTGTTTGATTCTGCTTGCTCTCTGGAATAAGTTGTTTGATTTGATTATATGTTGTTTGATTAATTGATTGTGTACAAGAGGGGAGCTGCTGATTGTGTACAAAAGTTGTTGCTTCCTGCTTGCTCTTTGAAGTCTAAAAATCTGCAGTTTGCTTCATAAATTTTTTGTTTGCTGACTGATAACTGTTTGACCAATGCATATGTATTTTAGTTGTCTCTTTTTGTTGACTTGGTGCCACTACCAAAGACATTTGCATTAAAAAAAGATGTGTTGTATGCAACTTTATATAATCAGTTTTAGAAGATGTATTTGAATGCATGATGATTTGGTGTTCAAATAATTTAGTATTCGGAACCGTAAACCAGCAAGAACCAAATCAGAACCGGTGTATGCAACTTTGCTTAATATATGCCATAAACAAAAGCAAAGTCGTGAATTTAGAAATACCTGAGCAATGGTGACTTCATGGCTTTGTCTTGGTCAGTTAGTATAGCAGCTAGAGGTTTCCACCCATTGCTCTAACCCATGTTTTGATTAACCAAACAATGCACATCCAAGTATTGTGGATTGAAAATGGTTATTCACGCCAATAAATGGAGCAAATGTCATCTTCTATTTATTTGTGATGTATGTAGTATCAAAGGAAACCATGTCTCCAAAAGTCTATAGTCTTCACGACCTTTCAAGCATTGATTTTCATCTACATCCATTGCATAAAAAAATTTGAGATTATCTTCCTGCATATGCATAATATGCTCAAGCATTATTGTATCATCCACCGATGCTAGTTCTAAACGTCTCTTTTTATTGAAATAATTTTGCTCAGAAAACTGTTTGAATTGAATTGCACTCACCATTTATTATTTTTCTTAAGAAGGGCTCCGAGTATCAATTGAAGTGCTCTAGTATTTTGAGTTTTTCATGAGCACTTTTATTATTTTTTTTAGTTTTTTAATAATGTGGGTCCCAGGTTGTTTTGAGTACGGGATGGAAGCGCATCGTGCCTAGCTATTCTCCCTAGACTGCCTAGACTTGCTTTACTAGCGAGTCTGGCTAGCAATTCCTAAAAATAAAATAGTTTTAACGAAAAGCATCTGGTACTGTTTACTTTAACGAAAAATCATATTTTTACACTAAAAAGTCAATTCTAGTACTATTCACTTTACCTTTTTTTTTTTCCTTATCATTAAAACTCAAAGTTTTCAAACCATTTTCATTAATTTTCCTTAAAAAAAATTGGTGAAAACATAAATGCTGCAAGACATAGAAAAGAGAAGACTTGCCCCTTAGGTGAGTCTGTGCAAACTCGCTAGGCGTGTGTAACTAAGCTGTCATAATAAAAAATAATGCCATTAAATTTATTTATTTATTTTGTTGCAAGTTGAAGAAGAAAGAGATAATATTATTTTCAATTGCATATTTTGTTTCTTCCTCTCTCATAAAATTGATTGTTTTATATACCAATTTCAGGACTGCAGCTATGAATACGATCCACAAATACCAATTTTGCGAAATGAGAGTGAGAATGGTTTGAGATTTTAACAGACTTTGCGCTCATCTTAACAATCCCTACATACACACTTTACATGTTCGAAGATCAAATCAGAGGATTCAATTAAAGAGATTATAACCCTACAAATTCATTAACACAATATTCTTTGGACATGTATTCTTATTTCATTTGTCACAGGATTTCGTGTGTACAACCTCAAACTAATTATTCTTCAGCACTTACTGGTACAACGTTCTACACATTTATGATCCTTCAATTTGATCTAACAATTTTCGAATCAATTCAAAAATTAAACATACGTGGATACTAAATTGACGTGCTACTCAAGAAAAATGAATAGTCATCATCAGGGAAAGAAAAGAATGGTGCAAGCTTAAATGTTGGCTTTTCAATCTCCAATTACAAGATGAGATTCCTCATAAGAAAAAAAAACAAAAATTACAAATTACAAAGTGAAAAAGACTTGATAGGAAGTGGTGGGATCCACACTCAAAGCCATTACCGCAACGTCTATAAATTTCACATATGAGGTTCCTTTTTGAATTTTCTTTATGAAGAACTCAAGGATCACTTTATCGTATTTTTTAATCGTATATCGTACGATTAATTTTTATTAAGTACTATTTTTGTTTAATTTTAAATAAAAAATCCAAAATAAATTTTTATTGCAGGATAACAGAAAAACAAACAGGATAAAGTAATTTTCAAAATTCTTACAAAGAAGGATCTGATAGGATCCTATCATACCTTGATCAACATTATTGTGACTCCACATGGATATGCACAGTTGACGTAGTGACATCAGGCTCCGCCTTTGAGCAAGGCTTTCCAAACTTCAATGTATCAGACTCCAGAATGTTCTGGAGTTCTCTCGATTTTATCATTCCCACTATATGTCAGAATAAAATTAACTAAAAATTAACGCGTTAAAGCTAGAACTTGTACTCGAAGGTCGAGACTTAATTATAAATTTGCCCCTTGAGTTTTAGTAGTTATTACATTTAGGTCTTTAAACCTTTTTTTTTTTTGGACCAAATGGGTCACGTAACTTTTAAAAATGTGGTAAAATGTTGATAATCCATAGAATCTCTAACTAATTGTATTATGACATCTAATGTCTTCAACTTTGTTCTCAACACTCTAAAAAAATTTCTCGACAATTCATTATAACTTTATAATGGTTTAGGTTCTCAATGGTTTTCTTTTGTTCTTATTCATGTGGTGCTGGCCATATAGGAGATTTACTGTTTTTTATGTCTATGTAAATTATCTCCAGTTTAAATTATTAGTTCTTAAAAAATTTATACATTTGGCACCTCTGTAATTGTATAATTTGTTGGTTGATTAATTAAATCTTTCTACCAGTTCTTGTAAAAATAATAAAGGTTGTGTGCAATTCAATTTAGACGGTTTCCGGTTGTAATGAAAATCAAGTGGTAGATTGTTTTGTTTAGATAGGGACCTTATTCCAGTCCATTACACCTATCATAGAAACTCTCATATTCCTGTTAGTGCTGTAGCTTAGAATAGTAATATGACTTGCAATTAAATTCGTGTAAAATTAACCGTAGCCAAAGTAGCTAGAGGAGTATACTCTTTTCTCATCACCCAAGTTAAAATTTATCACACGGTAATTTGAATTAGATAAAAATATTATTGTGATATGAAACAGTTGGAAGACCAAAATGAAAGAAACCCCAAAAGTGGAGGGCGCAAAAGATGAACTTACTCCTCAAGCTCAAAGACTTGGAAAATATACAAAAGTCCAGTGCTTTGAGTGATAAGTGGGTCTTTGATGAGCGTGTATAAATACAACTTCACTGAAATGCTGCTTCCCCACACAATCCAAAACACTGATCAAGAATCATAGTTCAAAGTTGAGAGAGAGAGAGAGAGAGAGAGAGAGAGAGAGAGAGAGAGAGAGAGAGAGAGAGAGTGATGAGCAGTGGTGGCGGCGGCAGCAGCAGCAGCAGCATGACAACTGCAGAAGGAGATGAGGTTCATGTGAATGTGATCCTACTACCTGGGTTCAAATTCTGCCCCACCGATGAGTTGCTGGTTTGCTACTACTTGAAGAACAAGATACAGGGCACCGACTCCCATTTCCGCTCCGTCATCCCTGAGATCGATGTCAGCAAGTACGAGCCCTGGGATATTCCTGGTAAACCCTCTAATATGTTTCACTTTTTCTTCACTAGCCATTCCTTATTTCTGGTGGATTCTGATGTTGTTTATTTACATTTATTATACTGTTTCGATATTTCGGTTTTTTTTTTTTTCATTTCAGAATTGAATTTGGTTGGTTTCGATTTTCATTTTTTTGTAGTAATTCTAGTGCTCTGTTTCTATCTATTGATGATCTTGTTGTATGCATAAATTCCAGTGCCCACTGCCCTCCCCTGGTATAACTGAGAGTAGTAATATCGCTTGTACCTCAAGAATTCTTGAGGTGTGTTGGTTTCAATTTTAATATATTGTTCTGTGTTTTGTAAAAAAAAAAAAAAATTAAATTTGCTTTGTGTTGATCTCGATTTAATTTCCCTTTAAAGAGCCAACCCATATCTCTTTCCTATTGTATAATATTGTTGCACACAAAAATGTGTGATCGTGTTTCAGTGTTTGTGTTTTTTTGTTCTTCAAGAGTTGGATGGGTTGGTTTCAAATTTTGAACATTATGTTTTGTTGTTGGATTTTAGCTTTCTTTCCAGAAGTTCAAGAGAAGGAATGGTTCTTCTTCAGCCGGCCCAAATACAAGGACATCAACAAGCCTCGCCGCAACCGGACCACGTATAAAGGCTTTTACAAGAGCACAGGAGGTGAGAGGGAGATCAGGGCTGAAGAATCCCAAGCTGTGATTGGGAAGAAGAGGTTTCTGACCTTCCACGAAGGTCGTGCACGTGGGCCGAAAGCAACGAAGACCGATTGGGTAATCCATGAGTTTACAGAAACTGAGGTGGGTTCCTTTGTCCTCTGCCTCCTGAAGAAAAGGTCACCTAGTTATAAGAAGCCGAAGGGTGATCCAATCTGCGGCAAATTAGCTGATTCAGGTGCTAACTCGGAAGACAATCAAGCTGCTGTAAGTGATGCGATTCCAGAGCCAGTGGAACATCTGGGATACAAAGGGCGAGGAGATGTTAATAGCTCTGAGCCTCCAGATGGTTCTCGTCTTATAGACAGTAATAACATTTTGAGATTTGATGATGGTGATGATGAAACTGGTGACGTGAAATTCCCGGATTTGGATGATCCAGCTGCATCTGCTAGGGTTCTAGAGGTAAGATAATCATATACTCTACATTTTTTTTGTATGAACTCGCAAAGCCTGCTCAAATTTAACACCTGCCTGTTTGTGATTCTAAATCCACTAGTTGCGTGCTGAGATGGAAGAAATTCTGAATTCACCCCCTCAAACACCGCACCAGACACCACAAGATTACCTTTGCTCTACATTCCTGTCATCAGGAAACATACAGCTGGGAGCTGTTCTGCAAGCCAATGGCACTAGTGATGATTGTAATATAATACAATCACCATTTGGAGATAATAATTATTCTTATGCTGATAAGAATGATATTTCAACCTGTGATGAAGGTGAACCTTATAGCTTCACCGTGAATGATTTCGAAAACAAAGTTGCAGATGATATGTCTCAAGAGGTGAGAATAAACATGCTTATTTGAATATTTCGAATATTAACTTTAATAATACAAAAGTTTATTAAAACTTAACCTTCTTATTTGTGATTTTTAATCCAGATATGTGTTCAGCCACAAAAGGACATGGATCTACTTCAGTTACATGTCGCACAACAGTCACGAACATACACAAAATTCGAAGATTTTATGGATGCCAATATTTTTTATGATGAATGCATAGAGTGGCAGCCTCAAATTGGAGATGAATATTCACATGTTAATTGCTGCAATGCATTTGATTTGGAAAATCAATATACAGATAACATGACTCTGGAGGTGAGAATAATCATGCTTGAACAATTTTTTTGACATCAACTTCTTAATATTGAGCACAATATGTACATTAAAAACTCAACACTTGCTTGTTTGTGATTCTTAATCTTGCAGCCATGTGTTCGACCAGAAAAATATATAGGAAGCGTTCTGCATGCCGATATTTGTGACAACGGCTACAACAATTGGCAACCTACATGTTGGGATAAAGATTCTTATCTTACAGATAAGAAGAATATTTCAACCAATGATAAGGATAAACAATATAGCAGCATTGCGTCTAATTTTGATAATCAAGCTACGAATAAAAGGAAGAGGTAGCTGGCAGCAATTGAAAACGTTCTTTCAATTTCCCAAAAATATTTGCCTGATGCCGTTAATCAAGTCCTCCACGTAATAACATTTCAACCAAGCCGTAGTTCTCGCCTTAATGGCAATGCTTCTATTTGTCCTGCAGTTGTTGTTGCATGGTTGCTGGGGTCTCTATCAGTCTACATATTATCGATACTTAAGATGTGATTTTGTGTATAATTGGTATGATTATCAAAATATATGGTTGTAGTTTAAGATCTTAAACCTTTCTATATATAGTTGTATCCTTGTGTATTGTTTATCAGAACCTCTTAATATTGAATGGAAATTTGCCTATTCTTCTCTCTTTCTATATGTATATATGAGTTGTGTACCATACCAACAATGTTAATTGTTTACATGTTATCTATGTTACACCCAACTAGGGAGAAAAAGAAAGGATATTCGAGTGCAATTAGGCGTCCATTGTTTCGGCATTCCATGTGCAGCTGCAAAATCAAACAAACCATCGTTCCCTGTAAATGATGTCTTCGTAATTTTAATCAAAAAGTGTTTTTCTTATCGAGCATTACAAGAGATTGTATTAAGAGATTACTTAACCACTTAATATTCCTGTTTACTTGTAACTAAGAGATCTTAAGTTCGATCCTCACCAAAGGTGAATTTGAATCACATTATTATAGCTAACTCATTGTAAGACTTAGTTCACTCTCCTACCCCCTTAGTGTAGATAATATTATTTGTTCAACAAAAAAAAAATTAAGAGATTACTTAATCTTGATCGTAAATTTGCGGTCTTTATACCTTTTTTTTTTATAACCAAATTGGTCCCCTAAGTTTGAAAAATGTGGTAAAATGAGGACATTTCATTACAACCTAATAAATGGTTTAGGTTCTCAATGGTTTCCATTGGTTCTTATTCGGCCGTTTAGGAAATTTACTATTTTTTATGTTTGTGTAAATTATCTCCAGAGCAAATTTACACGTTTGGCATCTCTATAATTGTGTAATTTGTTGGTTGATAAATAAAATATCATTATCGTTTCTTGTAAAAAATAATAAAAGGTGTATGCAATTCATTCAAACGGCTTTTTGTTGTAATGAAAAACAACTGGTAGATTGTCTGGTTTAGATAGGACCTTATTATTCAACCCATTACGCCAAGCGTATAAGCTCTCCTATACTCAAGGTTCTAAAAGACACTAGGCGCTAGTCGAACGGCGAGTTGAAGCCTAGGCAGATTAGACGGATTTAAGTAAATTTATTATATTTCGTGTAAATAAGTGTTTACTTATACTTTAAATATATATAATTTCATTATAAACTCCAAAATAGAATGACATATATATATATATATATATATATATATATTATGAAGTATTGGAACATAATGAAAACATGGGGAACAAGGATATAATGTGTGTTCATTTAAGTATGCAACAAGTCTTTTACAATTTATTGAAAAAAATAAAATGCAAAAAATGTTATCTATTTTCTGTTTAAGTGAGTCGAGACCTAGGCAGGTTTGGGCAAGCTAGGCAGGTGCCTAGGCAGTCTAGGCGGACGCCTTAACATGTCTAGGCACCCTTTCTTAATTTTCAAACGCCTAGGCGGATATTTTTATAACATTGCCTATAACTAGTGTCGCCTTAACATGTCTAGGCACCCTTTCTTAATTTTCAAACGTCTAGGCGGATATTTTTATAACATTGCCTATAACTAGTGTTGTTGCTTAGAGTAGTAATATGATTTGTAATTTTTTTTTAACATACGATATTATCTACATTAATGGGGAGGGGGTGAGTGTAGCATCACAATGGGCTAGCAATAATGTGGTTCAAATTCGCATTTGGCGAGAATCAAACCTAAGACCTCTCACTTAAAAGTAACAAGGAATACCAATAGACTGTAGTATTAAGTAGCTATGACTTGTAATTAAAATTATGTAAAATTAATCGTATCCAAGTTAATTAAAACAGTGTACTCTCCTCTCGTCACCCCAAGTTAAAATTTATCACACTGTAATTTTAACTGTAATTTACATTATATTACAATATTATTCGTACAAAAAAAAAAAAAAAAACCTGATAAGAAATAGTTGGAAGACCAAAATGAAAGAAACCCCATAAGTGTAGGGAGCAAAAGGTGAACTTACACCGCAAGCTCAAAGACATGGAAAAACACTAGTCAACTTCCAAAAGCCCAGTGCTTTGAGGATAAGTGGGGTCTTTAATGAGTGTATGCTTTTATTATTATGACTTGAGAATGTTGTATCGAAAGAAAAATATTCTTGTGAATGTGATTTATTTCCAACATTTGAATGTTGAATGAAGTTCGCTTAAAAAAAATGTTGAATGAAGTATTTTATGTATTTTTTCGTTTTAGTTTTTTTTTTTTGCAATATTTTTTAACGGTAAGTAGCATTGACTGGTATAGTAAGATTGAAAATAAAAGTTTTAAATAAATATGAAAATCAAATCTAACAACTAAACTATCTGTAACACTCAATACTACGTCGCATTAATGTTATGGTGTTACTTTTGAATTGTGGTAAATGTTTTATCCTATTTTTTTCATTAGATTATTGGTTTCGGGTACTTCAATGTCATGGCTGCTAATGTAGTAGACCAAATGAGACAATGAGACAATGAATCAATGAATGTGGCAAAGGAGAATTCGAATCTGAGATTTAATTTTAGGAATGATTAGACTAAGAGTTAGATTGTCACATGAATAACTTAATTTGAAATATTTTAAGTTGTGGTCGTTAGCAATGTCTCTAGTAAATTATTCAAGCTGCAAATTTCTTACCAACTGGCAGTGTAAAAATTTTATGGTAGTCAAACCAATATAAAGTCTAGACAATTTTCAAATTGTTGTATAAAAAAATATTGGTCTAATATAATTCATCTCTATTTTGTTGGATGATTAAATTCAAACTCGCATCCTGAAAAGTCATTATGAATTGTAGCATTGTAAGTGCTTTTTACTCTCAATCATAAAGGAAGTTGAGGTTCTGTGTAAAATCTAATTAGTAGTATGATTAGTAGCCTATTCTTTAGAGAATCTCCAACGTGAGATACAAAATACCATGAAATAGGTACTTTACATTTTTGATTGGTCATAAGCTATTTAATAGACGGAATGTAAAATATAGACCTTGGTAGGAATATCAAATTTGCGTATGCTAGTCTATTGAAATAAAACTCACATTTACATTTTGAAAATCTCTTCTATTGAAATAAAACTCACATTTACATTTTGAAAATGTAAAACGAGAATGTAAATTTGGCTTTACATTTTAAATATAAGTGTCAACATTGAAGATGCTCTTATAAGCACATATAAACTATTATTTATTCGATGTGAGATTCGTATAACAGTAAGAAAAGGTTCCACTTTAGCATACCAGTCATTGATATCATCTAAATTAATTATACACTTGTGCAACTCTTAACTCAGCTAAATATAAAATCGAATCTGTTATACCTTGAACTACATTCTTTTGACTCCACATAGACATGCAATGATGATAATGTAGTGACGTAATGCTCTGCCTTCACAACCAAGGAACAATTAGGAAGAAAAAAAATTTAAATTAAATTTTGTAAACTAAATAATATAGTTGTTGATAATTAGATTATTACTTAAATATTGATTAACGTGCTTATTTTCTATTATTGACACATTATTTAGTTTGTAAGTTTAATTTAAAATTTTAGTCTATCTATCATTACTCTTATTTTTAGTGAGCAAGGCTTTACAACTTCCATGTATCAAAGAGTTTAGAATGTTCGTGATTCTCTCGATATATGTTTCTCACAAAAAAAAAAAATATATATATAGGAATTGCTAGCCGGGCTTGCTAGACACGCTGCACTTCCATTCCATCCTCAAAACAAGTTAGGACCCATATCGTTAAAAAACAAAAAAGTGGTTATGAAAAACGGAAAGAGATCATCTTCAGATCTCTTCCTCTAAAACTATCAAATCAAATAATCCGGACTTTTGAAATTTGATCTAATAATAAGAAATTATTATAATTTTTAAATTTTTTTTACCAATGTCTGGACCTACTTCTTAAAAAAAGAAAAGAAATTAGCTTGGAGAACTCAAACGTCATCGTCAACGTCAAAGGAAGAGTTTGACAATTTGACTCCACTGTTTATCATGCTTTCTTTCTCATTTTACCCTTTAAACTTCAATACCCGTTAGTCATGCTCATGTTCATATCCTCATTCAGTAAACCAAAATTGGAGCTCATACATTTCTCCTCTTTTCTTGCATCCAAAGTACCATGAACTCTCGTATTTTTTATTTCAAAGTCTTTAACTTTAAAAGATTTTAGCATTATCTTCATTCACTTTTAATAATAACATCCTCCAACGCCTAAAATCTCCTTTCGAAACTTCGTAAAATTTTATGTGTGTAAACTCATAGACATTTGTGCTTCAGAAGGTGATGAAGACTTCAAAACAGGTTTTTCATCCTATGTTTTAAAATCATCTTGTGATTCTTTTTCTTGCATATCTTGCAAAGCCACCATGTATTTTTTAACAAACTGTTTCAAAATAGTTTTCTTGTTCACAAATTTATCGAAAAAAAAGAATTTATGCTTTCAGAGCTTTGAGTTGTACATATTCGGCAAAAAAGTGTCTCTCATATAAGTAAGCACCCAATAGAAACGATCTTCAAACAAAGATTTTGCTTAATATATGCCATAAACAAAAGGGATGTTGTGAATTTGGAAATACCTGAGCAATGGCTGACTTCATGACTTTGTCTTAATTAGTTAGTATAGGAGCTGGGGGTGTTCCACCCTTTGCTCTAACCCATGTTTTCATTAACCAAACAAATGTTGAAGCATTCTCGTTATACACATCCAAGTAGTGTAGACTGAAAATGGTTATTCACGCCAACAAATGAAGCAAGTGACACCTTGTATTTATTTGTGATGCATGTAGTATCGTGCGTTTGGTACGCAGAAGGGACGGGACGGAACGAATGTGTAATTTTTGAAAAAGATATGGGGTATATTTGTCTTAAAATGGTAAAACATTGTGTTCCACAGACGTGGAACAAACCCGTTCCAGGGGGGAGGTGGGACGCAAAAACACCCAAAATCTGTCCCGTGGAACAGCCCGTTCCAGCCATTTTTGGCGCACCAAACGCGGGACGGAACGCCTCGTCCCGTTCCGTCCCACGTACCAAACGCACCCCAAAGGAACCACGTCTCCAGAAGTCTTACAGTCGTCACGAACTCTTGCATCAACCCAAAAAAGAGAAATGCTACAAAACTCTGTCCAAACTCGCTAGGCGTGTGTAACTGACTCGCTGAGCTGCCATAATTAATGTTGACTCTGGTCCCACTGTTAATCCAATAACAAAAAATAAATGCCATTAAAAGTATTTTGTTTGCTGCAAGTTGAAGAAGAAAGAGATAATACCATTAAAAGTATTTCTCTTGGAGAATATTAATAAAGCTCAACTTAAGAGAGGAGGCAAATAAGAATCATAAGATTCCCACTACAGGACAAAATAAGAATAACTGAAAATTAACGCGTTTAAGGTAGAACTTGTATTGAAAGCTCAAGACTTAATTAGAAACTTGCACCTTGAGTTTAGTAGTAGTTCTATTTGAGTCTCTAAACCTTTTTCTGAACCAAATTGGTCCCCTATTTTTACAAAATGTGGAAAATGAGGACAATTTATTACAACCTAATAAATGGTTTAGGTTCCCAATGGTTTCGATTGGTTATATTTATGCAGTGGTGGCCATATAGGAAAATTTGTTATGTTTGTATGTCTGGTTAAATGATCTCGAAATTAAATTATTGGTTTTAAGAACATTTATACATTTGGCATTTTTGTAATTGTATAATTTGTTGGTTGATAAATAAAACCTCGAATAAATGGTGTGTGCAATTCAATTTAGACAGCTTTCTAGTTGTGATGAAAAACAAGTGGAAGATTGTCTTGTTTTTATAGGACCTTATTCTTTAAGCCATTACGTCCGACGTATAAACTTGCTTATACCTTTTAATGTTGTTGCATATAGTAATATGACTTGTAATAAAATCGTGTAAAATTAACTGTAACTAAATTAGCTAGAGTGGTATACTCTCCTCTCGTCACCCAAATTAAAGCTTATCACACTTTAGTTTAAATTAAATTACAATATTACTGTGATAAGGAATAGTTGGAAGACCAAAATGAAAGAAACCCCATAAGTGTAGGTAGCAAAAGATGAACTTGCACCATAAGCTCAAAGACTTGGAAAACACACTAGTCAACTTTCCAAGGTCTAGTGCCTTAAGTGATGAGTGGGTCTTTGATGAGTGTAATAAATACAACTTCACTAAAATTCTGCTTCCCCACACAATCCAAAACACTGATCGAGAGAGAGAGAGATGGGTAGTAGCAGCAGCAGCAGCAGCAGCATCGCACCTGAAGAAGGAGATGCAGTGCGTGTGAATGTGAGCCGACTGCCTGGGTTCGGATTTTCCCCAACTGATGAGTTGCTGGTCAGCTACTATCTGAAGAACAAGATAGAGGGGACGGACTCCCATTTCCGCCACGTCTTCCCTGAAATCGATCTCAGCAAGTACGAGCCCTGCGATATTCCTGGTAAACCCTTTATTCTATCTCACTTTTTCTTCACTAGCCATAAAAAATAAAAAAAAATTTGTTTTGTGTTGTATTTCGATTTACTTTCCCTTTTGAAGAGCCAACCCGGATCTCTTTCCTATGGTATAATATTGTGGCACCCAAAAATTTATGATCTTGTTTCAGTGTTTGTGATTTTTGTTCTTCAAGAGTTGGATGGGTTGTTTCAAATTTTGAACATTTTGTTTTGTTGTTGGATTTCAGCATTCGTCCCAGAAGTTAATGAGAAGGAGTGGGTCTTCTTCACCCACCCCAAATACAAGGACACCAACAGCACTCGCCGCGACCGGCTCACGCATCAAGGCTATTACAAGATCACAGGAGATGAGCGGGAGATCAGGGCCGAAGAATCCAAAGCTGTGATTGGGAAGAAGATTATTCTGACCTTCCACGAAGGTCGTGGACCAAAAGCAAAGAAGTCCGATTGGGTAATCCATGAGTATTATTGTACAAACACTGAGGTGGGTTCTAAACCAACCAAGCAGATGGACTTTGTCCTCTGCCGCCTGAAGAACAAGTCAGCTAGTTATAAGAAGCCGAAGGTTGATCCAACCCGCGGCGAATTAGCCGATTCAGCTGCAAACCCGGAAGATGATCAAGCTGCTGCAAGTGATGTGATTGCAGGGCCAGTGGAACATCTGGGATACGAAGAGCTAGGAGATGTTAATAGCTCTGAGTCTCCAGACGGTTCTTGTCCTATAAACTGGAATGACATTTTGACCTATGTTTATGGTGATGATGATCCAGCTGCATCTGATATGTTTCAAGAGGTGAGATAATCATATGCTTTTTCTACGTATTTTTTGTTATGAACTTGCAAAGCCTGCTAAAATTTAACACCTGCTTGTTTGTGTTTCTTAATCCACCAGTTGTGTTCTGCGTTGGGAGAGATTCCGAATTCAACCTCTCAGCCGCCGCAGACACCACAACCACATCAGCCACCGCATCCACATCAACCACACGATTACTACCCCTCCACACATCAGCCACCTGAGTATATTATTTCAACTAATGATCCCAATGAACCAGTTAGCAAACCTAATGGTGTTCAAGATCTTGCTACAGATGAAATGATTCCAGAGGTAAGAACCAGTCTCTGAATGTTGTATCCTTCGTTTTATATGAACTTTCCAATATGGAGCACAAAAATTACATCAAAACTTAACATTGTCTCGTTATGATTCTTGATCCAGGATTGTTTTCTTCCAGATGAATTTATGGGTCTGCTGTTTGATCCGTTACAAGATTACTTGCCGCTGTCACCAATGAACATGGAGCCGGGAGATGGTGTGCATCCCAATTACTGTATTGGATGCACTGATGAGTTGCGATCTCTAGATGATATGGAGATTTAAACTCTTTTCCCATTAGGTTCTTGATTTATCATTGTTGACCAGGATTAGTAATTAGTATCCTGGTAAGAAACAACGTACCCTACTTTTAGTGACTCTAATCTACCAAGAGTCACAAGCACGAGTCTAAGATAGCAACAGTAACATAGGTTTAGTTGGTATTAGTTACTCTAGAATAGCTAGTGAACAACAAGATTTAATTATCGAAAAATAGCAAGATCTTAATTATCGAAAACAGCAATATGGGACTTGTAAACCCCAAGAACTCTAGCAAAAGTAAAACATCACCCTTATCTGCATTTCAGGAACTTTAGGCATTAGAAACTTCTTTTCCTAGTTCTGGTCGATTATGTCCATGACAACCGATGTAGGTTACCTAAGCCTATTCTTGTCCTTTTTGGCCGTTTTTAAGCATTCCCTAGTTTTAGAAACTGCAAAGCTTGTTAGGTGAGCCTGTTAGTTCAAATTAACAGCAGCAAAACCAGTATTTGAGATTTCAACTGGAAATCTCTCTCCAACGAGGTGTCCAGATGAAGCAAAGATGTCTCTTCTCAGAAGCAGTTGTTTGGAGACCGCGACTCTCCTAGAACTACAAATAATCCTCAGCAAAATTGTCGTTTAGTATTGTGCTGTCTTCATCAAAAGTCATGTACCTCAACAAGATCGTCTTCAATCATCGTTCATTCGTGTCTATCCACTGGGAGTTGCTCCGAGAAGAATCCGACTGCAAAGCTGTATCACACGACAAGGTAAGCAATCAAAGCTAAAATTGTTAATAAAAGCTCATGTATTGATACTTTGGGAAGGCTATTTTCTGTTTTCAATGAACTTAATTTGATTTCTGTCAACTTTATTTCCAGGTCAGGGAAGCTGCAGAGTATTGCATTGCTCTTCATCTGCCCCGGAAGAAAACAAAAACCGAGTCTTTGAAGCATACAGTTTTGAAGCAGGCATCTATAGGGTTCTTTCATTGAAGCATCTCCTTAAAACCACTTATAAAGTCTCCCCGATGGGGAATGGTATTGTTACTTCGATACCAAGTTCTAGTTCTAGCCTCATGCTCAGGCTTTCGTTCCACAGTCGTTTATTCTGGAAATGGCGTTATACAGGATCTGCCGCAACATGGCTGCTGGAGTCCCAAATATATTACAATAACCAGACACTAAATGGTGATGTACTGGTTGTTGGTATTGAAATTTGAGCTTCCATCCCTAATGGAGTAGCAATTACAATCATTATCAAAATCTGATGATTATGATTGGTATAATCCGTTGATAACCTTCAGAATTAAACACCCATCTTATGTAAATATTGCTTTAATTATTTTCCCTGTATCAGCTGCTGCGTTCCTGTGCAGCATTTCTGCTTTTCCTGTACTCCTTTCATGTTGTATTGTTGTTAATGTTGTTTATTTAGAACCCTTCAATTTCAGTGGAATTTTGTGGTTATATTCTCTTGTCATTTTTTAGCCCATAAGAAGAAAAGTTTGTTTGACTTCCAATCGAGTTAAAACTTGCAACAACAACAACAACAACAACAACAAAAAAGCCTTTTCCCACTAAGTGGGGTCGGTCATATGAATCCTAGAACGTCATTGCGCTCGGTTTTGTATCATGTCCTCCGTTAGATCCAAGTACTCTAAGTCTTTTCTTAGAGTCTCTTCTAAAGTTTTCCTAGGTCTTCCTCTACCCATTCGGCCCTGAACCTCTGTCCCGTAGTCTCAACCGGAACTCAGAGTCAATTCTTCGAACGTCAGTAGATTCACACATGTCCAAATCACTGGAACCGATTTTCTCTCATCTTTCCTTCAATTTCGGCTACTCCTACTTTACCTCGGATATCCTCATTCCCAATCTTATCCTTTCTCGTGTGCCCACACATCCCACGAAGCATCCTCATCTCCGCTACACCCATTTTGTGTACGTGTTGATGTTTCTCCGCCCAACATTCTGTGCCATACATCGTTGGCCTTATTGCCGTCATATAAAATTTTCCTTTGAGCTTCAGTGGCCTACGACGGTCACACAACACGCCGGATGCACTCTTACACTTCATCCATCCAGCTTGTATTCTATGGTTGAGATCTCCATCTAATTCTCCGTTCTCTTGCAAGATAGATCCTAGGTAGCGAAAACGGTCGCTTTTTGTGATCTTCGCTAGATTGCTCCGGTTATTAGTGTGGATAAGTATATAAATGGATAGAGATAGGAAAGCAAACACAAGATGTACATGGTTCACCCAGATTGACTACGTCCACGGAATAGAGGAGTTCTCATTAATTGTGAAGGGTTTACACAAGTACATAGGTTCAAGCTCTCCTTTAGTGAGTACAAGTGAATGATTTAGTACAAATGACATTAGGAAATATTATGGGAGAATGATCTCGTAATCACGAAACTTCTAAGTATCGGAGTGTGGTATCGTCCTGACTTGCCTTATCTGTCTCATAGGTAGATGTGGCATCTTCTCTGGAAGTACTCTTCCTCTATCCAGGGGTGGTATCTTTAACTAGGGGAGATGCACAAGGTAATATATCAATTTCACTTGAAGCTTACTTGTAGTTTCAGGCTTGGTCAAGCGCGATACAAACCATGTAGTAGGAGTTCCCCAAGTCGCCGAGCTAGGGGATCTGCTGAAAGAGGTGACAGACAAGGTAAGCAATCAGAGCTCCGGCTGATTGTTCACATTCTCCCTATCTTGCAGGCAGCATGAAGGATAAAGAGAAGAAAAATGAGAAGAGATGATATGAGATACTTTTGTTTTTGAAGAAGTAACTTTCCACAGACTAATTCTTAAACTGAGCTGGAGGGTTTTCTGGTTTCCTCCAGAGTATAAGGCCGACTGAAGAATTTGAGGGTCAAAACAAGTCCATCAAATCTAGAGTACGTTCGACCCTGCTGATATGGGATACTTTTGCTTTGACAGAGTAATGGATGTATCGGCACGTGTGCTGTTACGCTTGTCTCCACATGCTTCCTTGTATCATTCTCACTTGCCCTATCTGTTTCTCAGGCAGATGCGGTATCTTCCCTGGAAGCATAAGATGTTGAAGATGAGTACTCGAGAGCAATGCCAGGTAAGTAATCAGGTAAGGGGTTCCAGGCAGTCAGTTCATGGCTGGAAGCTTGATTCCAAGTGCTGACTGATTGCTCTCTTTCTCCTTGTCTTGCAGGTAAGAACAAGGCCAAAGGAAAAGACAGGGAAAAAGCATGATATGGGATACTCTTGCTTTTAACCCTGATGATATGAGATATTCTTGCTCTAGTATAGCTTGTTTGCAGAGGTATTATCGGGGGGAAAGAAAGCTGAATATTTCGAGAGGCTTCGTTGGGAGTGCCCTCTCAGATATGAGGAAGGGTTGAGCATTTTTGCAGGTCTGCCTGTCCGTTGGGGATGGAGGTCGACATATATAGGAATCTCCCTAACAATAAGTAGTAATGATATTCCTTTACCCTGCTTGGTCATAGCACGGTAGTGGGAGCTGCCAGCTTCACATGTTTTAACTCTGTCAGAGCACTTTGAAAAAGTGGTCTGTGGTATCTGGAAAGCTGATGTTGTGTGTGAAGATTACAGACAGCTTTATCCAAGGAGATCCGGCTCTTGAAGTTGGGAAAGTGTTGCCTCTTCGGTTTTCGAACAAGCAATCCTATCGGGGATCTGGCTCTCGAGATTCGGAGAACGATGCCTCTTCGATTTTTGAGAAAGCAATCATGCTGGGGTCTGGCTCTCGAGATTCGGAGAGCGGTGTCTCTTTGATTTTTGAGAAAGTAATCATGTTGGGAGTCTGGTTCTCGAGATTCGGAGGGCGGTGCCTCTTCGATTTTGGAGCAAGCAATCTTGTTGGGAGTGTTTTCTCGAATGTGAGTAAAGGTTGGGCATGTTTGCTAGTCTACCTTGCCACGAAGTACAGATGTTGACACACAAGGACTTTCCAATTATCCAGCAATTGTACTGTTCCTTTACCCTCTCTTCGATTTTTGAGAAAGTAGTCATGTTGGGAGTCTGGCTCTCGAGATTTGGAGGACGGTGCCTATTCGATTTTGGAGCAAGCAATCTTGTTGGAAGTGTTTTCTCGAATGTGAGTAAAGGTTGGGCATGTTTGCTAGTCTACCTTGCCACGAAGCACAGAGGTTGACACACAGGGAATTTCCAATTATCCAGCAGTGGTACTGTTCCTTTACCCTTGTGGGTAATAATATGGTAGCTAGACCTTCAAAATTTATGTGTCTAAACTTTGTTAGTGCTGTTTCTTTGCTATTCTTTTACCCTTCTTGGTCAGAGCGATGTAGTGGGAGCTGCAAGCTTCACGTGCTCAACTTTGGCAGAGAACTTTGGCAAAGTTATCTGTGGTACCCATGAGCTACTGTTGCGTGTGAGAAGTGGGTGATTGAACAGTAAGACTCATATGCTTTCTACTTCACCAGAAGTCTTCGACAAAATGCCCATAATTTCCGCAAAGCTGAGTGTGCGTGTGACAGGTGCTGATAAGGCTGGAAAAGTAGGTGCCTCTTCGATTTCTGAGATCGGCCTTCGTGGTCTCTGAGCAGCCCAGCTTTTAAGAAAGCAAGCGCCTCTTCGATTTCTGAGATCGGCCTTCGTGGTTTTTGAGCAGCCCAGCTTTTGAGAAAGCAAACGCCTCTTCGATTTCTGAGATCGACCCTCGTGGTCTCTGAGCAACCCAGCTTTTGAGAAAGCAAATGCCTCTTCGATTTCTGAGCAGGCGCCTCTTCGATTTCTGAAGCTCCGTCGAGTGCAGATTTTTATAGGTGCTGACATTAAGTTCCAAAAGCACACTTGAATCTCCACCAGCAGAAGCTCCATTCTTGCACTTCTAAGATCTTGATTTGTCCGACCTCTTCTCTTTTCAACACCTTTGAAAATGTCTGGCCCCTCCGACCGTCGTTTTGACTTGAACCTTGTTGAAGAGGCAGCCCCGCCTTCTCCAGACAACATATGGCACCCATCCTTCGTTTCCCCTACTGGTCCTCTTACCGTTGGGGATTCCGTGATGAAGAATGATATGACCGCTGCGGTGGTGGCCAGGAATCTTCTCACTCCCAAAGATAACAGACTACTTTCCAAACGGTCTGATGAGTTAGCTGTTAAGGATTATCTGGCTCTTAGTGTTTAGTGTGCAAGTTCTGTGTCTAATATGGCCCAACGCCTATTTACTCGAACCCGCCAAGTTGAATCATTGGCAGCTGAAGTGATGAGTCTCAAACAGGAGATTAGAGGGCTCAAGTATGAGAATAAACAGTTGCACCGGCTCGCACATGACTATGCTACAAACATGAAGATGAAGTTTGACCAGATGAAGGAATCTGATGGTCAGGTTTTACTTGATCATCAGAGATTTGTGGGTTTGTTCCAAAGGCATTTATTGCCTTCGTCTTCTGGGGCTGTACCGCGTAATGAAGCTCCAAATGATCAACCTCTGATGCCTCCTCCTTCTAGGGTTCTGTCCAGTACTGAGGCTCCGAATGATCCCCCTCCAGTGCCTTCTCTTTCTGGGGCTCTACCGACTGCTGAGACTTCTCCTAAGCAACCTTTGTGAAGGCTCCCTCTTGTTTGTTTATTTTGACTCATGTATATGTACATATTTGTAGCTTATCGGGGATATCAATAAATAAGCTTTCCTTCATTTCAACGTATTGTGTTAAATACACCAAAGCCTTATTCGCTAAGTTCTTTGAATTTTCTTTTGTTGAAGCTTTGTGAGTGGAGCATGTAGGTTGAGGTAGTGTTCCCTTAATTTCCTGAGTGAGGAAAACTTTTCGGTTGGAGACTTGGAAAATCCAAGTCACTGAGTGGGATCGGCTATATGAATCTTAGAACGCCATTGTGCTCGGTCCTGTGTCATGTCCTTCGTTAGATCAAAGTACTCTAAGTCTTTTCTTAGAGTCTCTTCCAAAGTTTTCCTAGTTCTTCCTCTACCCCTTCGGACCTGAACCTCTGTCCCATAGTCGCATCTTCTAATCGAAGCGTCAGTAGGCCTTCTTTGCACATGTCCAAACCACCGTCACCGATTTTCTCTCATCTTTCCTTCAATTTCGGCTACTCCTACTTTACCCCGGATATCCTCAGTCCTAGTCTTATCCTTTCTCGTGTGCCCACACATCCAACGAAGCATCCTCATCTCCGCTACACCCATTTTGTGTACGTGTTGATGTTTCACCGCCCAACATTCTGTGCCATACAGCATCGCCGGCCTTATTGCCATCCTATAAAATTTTCCCTTGAGCTTCAGTGGCATACGGCGGTCACACAACACGCCGGATGCACTATTCCACTTCATCCATCCAGCTTGTATTCTATGGTTAAGATCTCCATCTAATTCTCCGTTCTTTTGCAAGATAGATCCTAGGTAACAAAAATGGTCGCTCTTTGGTATTTCTTGATCTCCGATCCTCACCCCTAACTCGTTTTGGCCTCCATTTGCACTGAACTTGCACT